TGAAGTATTCTAATTTGATGAGATAGTGAATTGGTGGGTTTTTGTTAAATGTGAGCCAAAATCATCACAATTAAAAGAACCAAAGACTTAAACTACTTCAGTCTGTGTGCATTGAATTTATTTAATACACTAGTTTCACAATTTGAGTTGAATTACTGAAATGAACGACATTCCGACATTCTAATTTATTGAGATGCACTTGTGTGTATGTGTGTGTATATATGTGTATATATATATATATATATATATATATATATTTCTACTAGTAATAATTCATTTTAAACTAATTTGAACAATAATTATAACCATAGTCATACATTTTTACTAGTCCAAATTGAATTGCTGATATCTTTGATATAATTACAGATGTCAACATGTGTATTTGTATTAGTAAATATAAATATCAAATTTACATTGTAGAAACCTGCCGTATGAAGAATTACTAGTCAAAATTGCATTACAGATATCTAAAATACGGGTTTTGACTAGTCAAAATTTAATGTTTTAGTTATCTGTAAGGCAGTTTTGACTTGTAATAATTTAATGGCAGGTATCTTAAATGTAATTTTGTCTAAAATATTTATTTTTACTATCTAATTCTATTCACAATATCTGCTAATCAATTTGGAATAGTAAAGCGCAGTTCTTACTAGTGAAAATGTAATTGACTAGTAAAAAAAAAAAAACTGCAGATACCTTTTGTTATTGGTAGATCAAATTGCATTATAACTAAGAAAATTATATATTGTAATTTCTTGTAAAAATTGAGTTCCAGCTAGTAACACTGCATGATTAATGGGTAAATTAAAAGATAAATTGGCTTGCTATAAAATATGAGAGAGGGCAAATATTGCTTTTTTCGTAGTAGTTATGTCAACTGGTTTCATCTGCGTTCATTTTGGTCTTCTTGATATACAGAGCGGTAACCAGGTGACCCTGCAGACTATCGCGCTGGAGGACACGTCTATAAAGATTGGGCCGGCACGCAAGCACAGCTGTAAAGGAAAGATGGCCCGCCGCAGTAAGAGGAGCAAATGGAAGGACAGTCAGGACCGGTCAGGAGAACTCTTGTTTTTAAGCTCTCATATTATTTTAAATGGACAATGCTATATATAATACCTCTGCATAGTTAATAAAAGGTAATGAATACAAATTAGATGCACATATAATTGCTGAAATTTAATTCACATTTATTTTACACAGTGTTTACTCAGCAGAAAATATTTAATATCCTTTGACAGCTTAGCAGGCATGGTTACTGGCTGATATATTGGATGAGTGAATGGCATTCATTTTGTCACTTGCAAGAGATCCATCACCAGGGTTGGGAAGATTGCTTTTAAAAATGTATTTACTTACAGATTACAAAATACATACTATAAATAATTTGTAAGGTATTTCGTTAGATTACTTATTTTTTGTTGACTTGTTTTATTGTAACCACCTATATAAAAATGGGTGGCATAAATGCATTTAAAACAATTATGAATGTATAAATAATGTTATGAGATTAATGTTTTAAATATACAATTTTGAACAGAAATATGAAATGATGTGGGGAAAATAAATATGAAATGTTTTTAAATATGAAACTAAAACCACCAGTAGGTAGTGACAAATCACTGTCTTAATGAAAGAGTCATGGAATCATTAATTCGTTCAAAAGGGCTGATTCATTCGGGAATTAAAGGGGTCCCATTATGCTTTTTCACTTTTTCAACTTTAGTTAGTCTGTAATGTTGCTGTTTGAGCATAAAGATCTGCAAAGTTACAAAGCTCAAAGTCCCCTTCAAAAGGAGATATTTTATTTAACACTTTTCAAAAACTACAACGAACGACTCGTTTGGACTACAACGCATATTTTCCGGGATTTGTTATATCACAAATATCTACGAATGGGACGAGACCTGGTCGAGCTGCACTAGAGAAGGCAAAGAGTGTTATCACTATGTCGGAGACACACTAGCTTTCCCCAAGGCAGACGAACTTAGAGTGGTTACAATCATCCGGGTTTAAATCGCTCTCAAATTGATTTGATTTTGATGCAATATTTACACTGAAGCTCGCAATGGTAAAGGGCATGACATTTCCCGACCAGGCGCCGAGTGCTGCCAATCACAGCACACACTGGCCCGGCTAACCAATCACAGCACACACTGGCCCAGCTAACCAATCACAGCACATTTCGTATTTCAGAAGGCGGCCTTCATTTGATACAGGAACTATTCGAGCCATTCATGCCAGACTGGGGAGAGAGGTGTTGTAATAATGTAAAATATGTGAAAAATAATGTTTTTCGAACAACCTAGTATGAGAGCCTGTTCTAGTACTCCCCAAAACAAAATCAAGACTTTGTAAAAGAGCGGAAGCGGGTATATGTACCGGAAGCGAGTGGCACGACATGACAAAATACAATAGAACCCATAATAATCAGTGATGCTGTCTACACTGGATCGACAAATTCCTGACAGTAAACTAATGCCTTGTTCTATTTATGTCATACTGACACAAAGTTCAAATGATTTGCAGCGGTTGCTTTGTCATGTCCAGTGTAGACAGACTTTAGCTGTTGCAGCGCAACATGTAGACACGGTGTTCATGTAAATAGACATTCGGCGTATGGAACCATTTTTGTTGGCGCTATAGAGCAAATCAGTCACTTAATATTAACTTCTTATTTTTGAATTGCATAAAATCAGCATCACATTTGCAATTGCGCTAATATTTGGGTAGACAACACTCGTCTTCCTCGATTGATATTGCTTAGCTATATCATATGTTGTAAATATAGAAAAACAAGAACTCATAGAGACAAACCTCACTGGCAATGCGTGAGAACAGTGTTGGCCGCCCTGATTTACAAAGATTGAGAACAACTTACTTTAAGGTGCTTTTTCAAGGTTACATGTTCCGTTGAAGCCGAGAGAAGTTTTTTTGCAGGTAAACAAAAATTGCATTGCAATGTGGTTTCATCTTTTTTCACATTTATAAGTAAAATCGTCTTTGTATTTCCGACAATTATGTGTTTGGCTTTCTGATTTTCTCCTCCATTTTTGTGAATCCTGACTAGCGTCTGCACTTTGCAGGTTGCTAATTGAATAGGCTGCACGAGTTTTTTTTTTTTTTTTTCCAAGAATCACCAGTTGCCTCATTGGTTAAAATTTCCAAACATTTTACAATTAAATAAATGACATAAAAATTCAAAGTAATCACTTTGGTAATCTAAAATACTTTTCGGATGTAACTGTAATTTAATTACCACCCATTTAAAATGTAACTATAACAAAATACAGTTACTCGTATTTTAAATAAATAACGATGTTACATGTATTTCGTTACTGCCCAACCCTGTCCATCATTGATGTTTTCCGTTAACCTGAATAATGTCTGGTGTTCACCCAGGAGGCGCAGCATGCTGAAGAAGCTGTCCAAACAGAGTACCGTCATGCACAGCAGCCGCAGTTTCTCCTCCGGCCTGCATCACTCTGTGTCCTCCAGCGAGAGTCTGCCAGGCTCTCCCACCCACAGCCTTTCCTCTGGACCCACAACACCCTGCCGGAGCCCCGTTCCCGACCACACCGTTGGTATGACCTGACTTTAACACATATGAAAAATTGAAGACTATTTAAAAAAATTAATAAATAAATAAAAAACCTTTTTATAATTAAAACTATTTCTCTTTATATTGTAAAATGAAGAAATATTTTGCACTATTTCTAGTTCACTTATTCTATTAGAAAATGCCAGAAAGTTTGTTGAATATATCGTTCATAGTTTATATTGTTACAAATTGTCATAAAACATTGCCATTCGTTCAGATGCCAGCCTGCCCCAGAACGCCTCTCCATGCTCCAGCTCTCCGAGTTCACCGGCAGTCCAGATGCGGCCCAGCTCTCTCCACGGCCTCGGCTCTAAACTTAGCAACCAGCGTTACACTAAAGTGGGGAGACGGAAGTCCACCAGCAGTATCCCGCCCTCGCCTCTGGCCTGCACTTCTTCACCACAGGCCCTGTCCCCTCAGCGCTCCCCCTCTCCCTTACCCAGCATCTCTAAAACCCTCCACTCCTTCCACGGCAAGACCCTCTCACCCCCCACCATCATTCGGCACGTTGTCCGACCCCGGAGTGCAGAACCTCCACGTTCCCCTCTGCTGAAGAGAGTCCAGTCTGCGGAGAAACTCTCGGGGGCTTTGTTTGCAGACAAAAAGCCCCACACAGCCCGCAGACACACGCTGGAGGTCCCACACTGCGAGGTGGACATCCCGGGAGACGCAGAGGCGGAGGGGGCCTGTGGTGCGACATATACAGTGGATCACGGCAGGCTGGGCGGGTACCTGTGCGCCCAGAGATTGAGGGACTGGCCCGGTGAGCGCATGGAGCAGATTGTCGTAATGCGCAAGCTGAATCTCTCCGAACGTAGAGATTCCTTCAAGAAACAAGAAGCCGTGCAAGAAGTGAGCTTTGACGAGCCAGATGACAGGGCTCCTCAGATACCCGCTCAGTCGGAGGAGGAGTGCGTGGCGAGGAGGAATCAGCTGGTTCCCCAGATCGCCGTGCAGGGATCAGAGAGCGAGGAAGCGGATGACTGGAGGCTTTGCTCAGATGAAGAAGAGGAAGAGGCTGAGGAAAACGTGTCTCAGAATCAGGGAGAACCTTGGGCCGACAAAGACGGCCCACTCTCCTCAGCAGCTGCACACGAAGCCGCAGAGACAGCGACGCCAGAAAAGCAGAGTCCAGAAAAAAGCATCAGAGTCCAGAAAAAAGCAAACTGAAGGAGAGATAAACGACTGAAGACTGTTACATATCCGAAGGCTTCTCAACCCAACCGCTGAGATGTTTGTTGCCACGCAGAATTCAAACAATTACCGAGTGGAGTATTTTATTAGAGTATAAATGGAAGTAAGCTAGTCTTATGCAGGGAATATTTATGCTTTTTTATATAGAATTTACACTGGAGATGTACTGTTGGCCAAAAAGAGAACTTAATGGTTGCTAGTACATTTTTCTCACCTTCTGTGAACCTGTTGAGGGAAATTGAATGACTTGATTTTTCTATGAAAATGTGCCAATGCTTCGAATTCATTTCATCCTCCAAGAGCCTTTCATTTTTGCACCGACTTTGTGTGCGATGTTAAAAGCTACAAGTTCAAATGATATTTGAATGGAATTGTCATGTGGCCCATTTCATGTATTATTTCACAATCTCAAAGAGTTTCCAGAGTGTTTGAAATGATACGTGCGAAGGGGGAAAAAAGACTCACTTTGTGCTGAACATTTGGACTTCAACTGTGGAAACCCCAGAAGTAACTTGACATGTCGTACATGTTGGTCAGTGTGTCCAAAAAACAATATTCATGCATCAAACCAAATAGATCAGTTTTACACATTTTTTTTTATTTTATTTTTTTTCTTTGTTTTTAAAGATGAATTTAGATTTTAAATTAAAGGGATAGTTCACCAAAAACTTTTTAAAAATTCTGTATTTTACTCTCCCTCAAGAATGTCTTGAAGAGGGTCCCCATTGACTTCCATCATTTTTTTTTTTTTGCATAACAATGGAGGTCAATGGGGACCAATAACTGTTTGGTTACCTGGATTCTTCAGAATATCATCTTTTTATGTTTGAAACGACGTGAGAGTGAGTAAATGATGACAGAATTTAAATTTGTAGGTATACTGTCCCTTCAAATCCCTTCCCTGACACTCTGTGCTTCGTAATTAAGATTTCTTTATTTATCAAATGGATTCTTTTAACATCCAAAATCCAATCGTTATCCATTCAATTCTAAAGTATATTTTCACAGAGTTCCCACAATTATTTTTTGCATGTCTTTAATTTTCCTTAAATATTCTTCCCGTACTATTTTTTATTTTTTTTCCCCCACACAGCTTTGCATGTTCAACTTAAACTGTCAAATGTTCACAGGTGCTAAGATGAACATGCTCACGGACACCTCTGAAAGAAAGAAACTAAATTTGTAGGTATACTGTCCCTTCAAATCCCTTCCCTGACACTCTGTGCTTCGTAATTAAGATTTCTTTATTTATCAAATGGATTCTTTTAACATCCAAAATCCAATCGTTATCCATTCAATTCTAAAGTATATTTTCACAGAGTTCCCACAATTATTTTTTGCATGTCTTTAATTTTCCTTAAATATTCTTCCCGTACTATTTTTTATTTTTTTTTCCCCCACACAGCTTTGCATGTTCAACTTAAACTGTCAAATGTTCACAGGTGCTAAGATGAACATGCTCACGGACACCTCTGAAAGAAAGAACCCGTAAAGCATAGTCACACACCTCATGCTAACTGGAACTCATTCACGTGTGCACAGATCACTGCGGAACGAAGCACGTTATCACGAGTTTTCCCTGGACAGTTGGTCTGTCGGGAGTCCTCACAAGCTTTTGTACTTGGAATAATGTTTACATTTTTATATATATTTGGATTTCTACTGTGCAAAGGGATCTGTATGGCTTGTTTTGAACTTGATTACAAATGTGTGCAGAACTGAAGTCAGTGGGTGGAGGCTTGAGCTAGATTATGGTTTTAAAGTTCGGTGTGATGCCATTGTTAATAGGCAGATCTCCCCAACGGTTGCACACATCAGACCGGATGTTTTTGTGTTCATATGCATGACTCTTCCAAAATGCTTTTTCTAAGTTGAGTATGTCATTATTTGAATCTAATGGGACAGTGTTTTTATTGCATGAAGGTGCAACAGTCATTTGGATGTTGTCAGTCAGTCAGGACAGCACATGTCTGACAAGTTCAACATTTCTGTTATATTTTTGAAGTTTATTGTTAATTGTGACCTCTGTAACTTTTTTGCATCAGGCTACTGAAATCGTAAGCACTCTGTATAAGACAAATTTGTGTCAATTTTAATAGGCTGTGTTTTCCGCCTGTTAGCCGACCGATTGCATGCTGCATGAATACACTGTACACTTTGGCATGGCATCCTCAGTGCAATATGTTCAATGGTCAAGTATAGCCAAGCCTTTGAATTACAGTAATGTTATTAAAATATTCATGTTATGCAGACCCTGTTGTGACATTTTATCCGTCTGTGATCACAGACTTTAGTGGATGAAGTGTTTGTCGTGTGGATCGTGTTAAGATGAGACGCCAGGTCACTATCTGCCCTTACATTCACACTAGAGCTTAACAGCACTGGAAATGCATCATCTATATATCCTGATGTGCTGATGGTTTCTTCCATTTTTCCAGAATTGTCAAGAATTCTTGATTATTGATATGCGTTTGTAAAACAAACAAAAAAATACTTTTTATAAATATTTTTTAATGTTATAACTTTGTCTGTTGTTTTGTAATAAATCATTCACTGGTTAAGCGGGAATATCACTGACTGTTTTTCTTTAAAAAGTGTTTTATATATGAGCAATATCAAATAAAATAGTATTTGGAGACTGAAATTAGGTTATTTTTACTTTCAACAACAGCTTGTAAGACGCAGCCAACAAATGCAGCGAGCAGTGCTGTCTTCAGAAATCACCCTTAACAGATGAAAGGATAGTACGACAAAGATAATGCTTTCCTCGGCAAACATTCAACCTAATGTTTTATTGTGAATATGAGATTGAGCTGAAGAATGAATGCTGTATCAGATGCAGGTCATCACACTCGCTCAGTCCATCTCTTATAATACTTTTCACAACAAAGCAGCAACTCTGCGTTCTTTCGTTGCTAATTCTAAAGTGACGTTTTCAAATTCGTAACTGGTGTTTGGGGTCATCTGTTAGGGGCCGTTCACACCCAACACGTCTCGCGTTCTTCAAAGCAAAAAAAATTTTTTTTAAAAAGCATTCTGTGTGAACCTACCATTTACTTGGCCTGGGAAGTAGTTCTGCACAAGTGTTTTTTTTTTTTATTCATTTACACACTTGTGCTGTCAAACTGTTGTATAAAGACAATATCACTCTCCGGGCCGTGCGATATGGCTCTGTATAAGCATGGCTGTGATTACACTTGGCCTGTGGCTGATGAGCGATATCATTTCACTCTGTTCATTGTTGCCTGTCGATGATGTAATATCCGTGCTATCGGTTTCCGCATGTAGAAAATATGGCAACACGCGTGGACAAAAATGCTGCTGTACAGTTAAACTAAATCCATTACGACTGTCGCAGATAAAGTCAAAATGAAAAGTGTTGACTGCAGCATTAAAGGGTTAGTTCACCCAAAAATGGAAATTAGCCCATAAATTACTCACCCTCAAGTCATCCTAGGTGTATATGACTTTCTTCTTTCAGACGAATCCAGTCGGAGTTATATTAAAAATAGTCTTTGATCTTTCAAGCTGTTTCATGGCACTCAGTGGGTGTTGCATGCATCAGTCCAAAAGCACTTCATTAAAATGCACCCATCCATAAAAAAATAAAAGTGTCTCACACGGCTCCGGGGGGGTGAACAAAGGCCTTCTGTAGCAAATGATGCATTTTTGTAAGAAAAATATCCATATTCAAAACGTAATCACTTTATTTTAGCTTGCGCTCACTGTTGTACACTGGAAGCAGTTCCAGATTAAAAAATTTTTTTTTTTTTTTTACAAGCAACGTATAAATTGCAAATATTGAATTGTTATATTATACATGTTTTGTCACGGACATATTTTTGGAGGGCTCTTAAATGCACAAAATGGACTTTAGAGCTTTTATTTTTCCCTGTCTTCTGCCTTTGACGTCTCAGGTCATGTCGCTAATAAAGGTTTGGGATTGTGCATGTTCTTGTAGCACCCTCATTCAATCAGTGTTGTCATGACATAATTTCCTCTGCGATTAATCACAACATTACTGCTCAGACTCTACTTTTTTGTTTAATCGATAAATGTTTTATTTGATAGTACATAAATACATTTAAGTTTTTGTTTTCAGCATTCAGTTATTAGATTAACAAGTGTTCTCTTTTGACAATGTTTTATACAGGGAAAGAAGGCATGGTAATAAGCTAAATATCAGCCGATTTATCATTATATCTGGATGTAGGAAATCCTCTCTAGTTCCTATAAGTGCTGAGTGTGAGATTAGCTGATCGGTGCTCCGGTCGTGACCAGTTTGTAGTATGCACCCTTCAGGCTCATGAGATAGTCATGCGTGCCCTTCTCAATGACGTAACCCCGTGACATCACCGCTATGATGTCAGAGTTCTGGATCGTAGAGAGACGGTGAGCGATGACGATACATGTTCTGCCTTCTCTGGCTTTATCCAGCGCATCCTGAACAGTCTGACACACACAGACAAACACACGACTGTATGAGTTCTCAACAACAGGAAGATCCTCTCAAACTGTAGTTCTGGCTTTCCTGCTCACCTTCTCACTCTCTGTGTCCAGTGCTGAGGTGGCCTCGTCCAGCAGAAGTATTTTGGGGTCTCGTATGATCGCTCTGGCTATGGCAATGCGCTGCTTTTGGCCACGGGACAGCTGGGAACCTTGGGAACCAACATTAGTGTCGTATTTCTGCATCATGGGACACATAAAAACAATTAATTTTTTTTTTTTTTTTTACAGCATTTTACATTGATCAGCCATATACTTGCTTGATGCACAAGAACAAATCTCATTGGTTCTCACATGTCAAGCAAGCACGCTTGAGCTTCCGTTTGCCATAACTGATGTGTGTGTTGATAAATGTTTATATGTAAATAAAAGCCTAAATTAAATCTGTTCATCATAGAAAGCAATCATGTCTCTTCAGAAAATTTTGACAACCACTTGATTCATGTGGATTAGTTTTATGAATGTTTTGAGGCGTCAAAGTGATAGTTGCATAGACTGTCAATGGAGGGACAGAAATTTCTCAGATTTCATTAAAAATATCTTCATTTGTCTTCTAAAGACAAACAAAAGTCTTAGGCTGATGATACACGGGGCAACTTTTTTTGAGCAATGTTTCTTTGGCACTTTCATTGTATATATATGTTATCAAATGTTACCCATTGAGAATGGGTAACAAATTTCAATATGGATACTTTAGATCAGTCTCACCTGGTTGCCTGTTGACAGCAACATTAACCAAAGTTGCCCGACAACATTGCTCAAAATGTTGCCCCATGTATCATCAGCCTTACTGAGTGCAAGTAAATGATGGCAATTTTCATTTTAGGGTGAACTTTCCCTTTAAAACTTCAAACTTTTAAAATTACTTCAAAATTAAAACTGCTTCAAACTTAAAATCTTCAAACTTCAAGCTTTTCAAACTATCAGGCTAGCCTTTCTCAAGCCAACATAATGTTGCGTCAACTTCTGTTGTTTTAAAATGTCCTTTATTTTAAGACGTGAAGAGCTTAGAGTAGAATTAAAGCAGAGTTCGACACAAAGTGAATGCAGCATTAATTCAAAATTCTTATAATATGAAGATCCCCCATTGAACACCTCAGGAAGTGACATGACGAAGTCATGCAGCTGGGCTTTCTTGGCTGCGGCGATGACGTCATCCATGCTGAGATGGCGCTGATTGTCTCCGTAGCGGATGTTCTCTGCTATACTGCAGTCAAACAAAATTGGCTCCTGAGAGACGATCCCAATCTTAGAGCGCAGGAAAGCAACATTGACCCGAGTAGATTCACGGCCATCAATGAGCTAATCGATAAAGAACAATGATTAGATCACAAACTCAAGTGTTTCAGAAAAAGAGTTTGATGCAAAAACCCATTTCAAATTCTGTGAAAAGTCCCAAGAGTTTTCTTACCACACGTCCATTGTTAGGATCATAGAATCTCTCCAGTAGTTGAACGCTGGTGCTTTTGCCACAGCCGCTGCTGCCCACAAAGGCCAAAGTCTGTCCCGGTCTAACACTCACACTCAGACCATTCAGAACCTGAATATCTGGCCGGGACGGGTACGTGAACTTGCAGTCTATAAACTCAATGTCCCCTTTAAAATTATCCTAAAAGAAAGAGAAAGAGAGTTTACTGTCATTTTAAATGACGGTCAGACTGTGTCTTCCTGCCTATGCAGAACATTCTTATATTGCTGCACAAAGAAACAATGCAGTAGTACAATGCAACATTTAAAATATTTTGTTTATATATTCTAAATTCATATATATATATATATTCATATATGTATATACTCTAAATATAACAAATTATGTTCTGTAACAGATACAATGATTCTGGAATGTACACTTCCTTTTAATAGTTTGGAATAATTAGGAATTTGTTTTTATGTTTTAAAAGAAATCTCTTATGCTCACCAAAGTTTCATTTACTTGATCAAAAATCAATTTTAAAAATTGTTAAATATTATTACAATTTAAAATAACCATTTTCTATTTTAATGTATTTTAAAATGTCATTTATTTCTGTGATGCAAAGCTGAATTTACTCCAGTCTACTGTCACATGATCCTTCAGAAATCATTCTTTAATTTGTTTATTTCATATTATAATTATTTTTTTTCTTGTTTTGTTACATTTTTCTAAACTAAAATAAACATTTATAGTGTTTGTAACATTTTTAAACACTTCGTTTGACTTCTGAATGTAATTATCAAAATGCGACTTATCTGTGTTCTCTTTCTGTCAGCAATGCAGTTTTGAGCCGATAGTGGGACTTCTTTTTTTCTGAGAAATACGGGACAAAAATGCTTGGTACTGATAACTAGATTTACCCATTTGTCTCCTTCATCGCTGTAGACGCTGATTTTAGGAATGTGGTCGAGTAGCTGGAAGAATCGTGCGGCAGAGATCTTGGCTTTGGCGTAGTCTGGCGTGTATGATGACGCTCGGCCGAGAGCTGTGCCACTGGTTACAATCGCTGAAATCACCCTGTAGTGATAGAACCTTGCCTAATTATGACATCCGTTTACTCCAACTGTAAACCAAAAAACACTTTGTTTCATTGTTATTTCACCTGAAAACAAAACTGAAGTGTAGCCCCTCTCGATAGACCAGGTATCCACCGAATCGATAGGAGGCAGAGTTTGCCATGAAGACCACGCACTGCGCAAACCCATAACAGGCGCCATAAACATTAGCCTTCTTCAGCGCGGCCTGGTACGGTGCCTCCAGCTGTGCCTCGAACATTTCCACAAAATTACGCTCTTTTCCCAGGCCAGCAATGGTGCGGATGTTATTCAGTGCTTCCCCAGATATCTAAACTCAGAAACAGACAGCGAGACATTCAAAATGCCTAGATTTGACCATACTACAGTCTAGCCTGAGCTCACCTGTCCTGCTGCCTCCATGGCCTCTTTGTCCTGCTTGGCGAATCCAGTTAACATCTTAGCCTGAAACCCTCCAGAAAGAGCCAGGAAGGGCAGGAAGCACAGGATGACCAGAGTGAGCTTCCAGCTGAAGTAGAAGGAGATGATAATGGCCACACCAATGTTGGTCAGAG